AACTCCAACTATATTCATAGCTCCCAAAACTTTAGAGGTAATATCATACAGTGGAGTAGGTAGCATTTTGGAGACATTCACCTTAAAAAATCTAGGATTATTGCTAGACTAAACGGCATTCAATGCTCCAATAACTATAACTCTAATTTTTATTTACAGAACTTAGAATCTAATCTTCAACAAGAGTATAGAGAGATTCTTAAATTAGAAGATGAATACTGGAGAATTAGAGCTAGAATGTCCTGGATTCAAGAAGGTGACGCGAATACAAAATGCTTTCATATTGGTGCAACTAATGGAGCTAGGAAAAACAAAATCGTTTATTCCAAAGACGAATTTGGTAATTGGATCAATGAACCTAACAAAATCCTAGACCACACACTTAACTACTTTGAGAATGCCTTCCAAACTAATCATTCTGCCTCCAATTGATCTCGTATTAAAAACAATCCAAAAACTTTTAACAACCTTAATCTCTCTACCCTAGACAATCATCTTGCAAAGGGAGAAATCTACAAGGCAGTCTTTTCCTTCAAACCGTTTAAATCCCTGGGTCCAGATGGCATACATCCATTTTTCTACCAGAAATATTGGAGCATTGTAGGCAAATCAGTTATAGATTTATGTACCCCAAGTATTTAATACTCAGTCTCTACCTAATGATATCAACAACACCTACATTTGTCTAATCCCCAAAGTCCCAAATGCCAATAATCTGAAAAATTTTAGGCCCATAGGACTTTGCAATACTATTTATAAAATCATTACCAAAATCATTGCCAATATAATTCAACATTTCCTCAACCAAATTATAAGTCCTTTCCAAGCTAGCTTCTTAAAAGGGAGAAGGTCTTCTGATAATGCCATCATAATCCAAGAAATGATGTGCCATTTTAAAAAAATGAAAGGGAAAAAAGGCTACATGATTCTAAAATTAGATCTGGAAAAAACATTCGACAGATTGGAATGGTCTTTCATCTACTTAACCCTTTCTTACTTTCAATTCCCTACTACGATAAAAAATCTTATTATGAATTGCATCAGCACTAGCAACATTGTCATTTTAGTAAATGGCACTACAACCTATTTCTTTGCACCAAGTAGGGGTATCAGACAAGGCTGCCCTTATCCCCCTTCATATTCATTTTGTGCATGGAAATGCTATCCCGACTAATTTGTCACCAAGTTGACATCAATCTTTGGGACCCCATTAGATTAAGCAACCATAACACTAGCATATCTCACTTGTTTTTTGCAGATGATATTACCCTCATGGCAAAAGCTGATAAAAGAAACCTACAAACCATCAAAGAATGCCTTAATATTTTTTGTAATATGTCTGGTCAAAAGATCAATAGGGGGAAATCAAAGATTTTGTTCTCCCAAAAATGTCCTATTCAAGTTACCAAAGAAATTGCATCAGGTTTTAACATCAATATAGCCAATAAGTTTGGCAACTACTTGGGGTTTCCAATTCTTAACAATGCTCCCAAAGCAAAACACTACCAATTCATCATTGATAAAATGCGGGCCAAACTTTCAAATTGAAAAACCAATTTTCTAAACATAGCTGGTAGGACTACCTTAGCCCTTGCTACTCTCAACTCTATCCCAAACCATGCTATGCAATATACTTTGCTCCCAAAAAAACCCTTAAACTTATTGATCAAATTCAAAGGAATTTTGTTTGGGGCACTACATCAAATCAGAAACAACTTCACCTCATTAATTGGAATACTGTTACCAAGCCTAAAACTCTAGGAGGTCTAGGAATGAAAGACGCCCTTTTAAATAATAAAGTTTTACTAGGTAGTATCTCGTGGAGACTCATTAACAATACCTCATCACCCTGGGCAAATCTCCTAATACGCAAATACTGCAAAAGGAATATCAAACACACCTCCTTCATTTGGAAAAGTGTTGTTACTGGCTAGGAAATTTGTAACCAAGGAATTCAATGGCTTCCGGGCAAAAGCTCTAATCTTAATAGTTGGGAGACCCAATGGATCCCTCAAGTCTCAACTCTTAGAGCTAGCATTGAGGGCCCTCTAAAAAAAATGAAGCTAACCTTCCTATTAAGAGATTATACCACAAAGGAAGATGGAATTTTCAGGAAACTTCTTTTACTATCCCTTCCTCCATCGTGGACAAAATCAATTCTATCCCCTTACTCCTCCAAAGCATAGATAAACCCCTTTGGAGTCTCAGCCCAAACGGGATATTCAACACAAAATCTTGCTACAACTTACTAATCCAAGGAAACATTAGTAACCAAGACTTTGTGTGGATATGGAAACTACCTTGCCCTAACAAAATAAGATACTTCTTTTGGCAAATCCTTCACAATAAGATTCCTTGTCGTTCATATCCACATCACATTGGAATAAATATAAACCCCAATTGCCCTAGTTGCAAAAACCAAGAGGAAACTATCACTCATATTTTCCTCACATATCGCATAGTCTTAGCGATATGGAGACAGTTCATATCACTAATATGAACACTGATCTGGACAAACACTAGCTAACCAAGCTGAGAGACATAAACCCAATTCCCCTGAAAATTCCTTGGAACAATCTCCTACCTTTCCTTCTATGGGGGATCTGGATCAATAGAAACAACAACAATATCAATAACACCCACTACTCCCCCCGTATGAAAGACATCTCTAACCTAGCCTATGAATTCCTCTTTTTCAACTCCACTGGCACAACAACTATGGATAAACCCAGCATTAACATAAAATGGTATCCCTCACAATGCGATCGGTACAAACTAAACACAGATGGTGCTTTTAAACACGAAGGTAATAAATCTGGTATTGGGGGAGTGTTCCGCAACAACAAAGGAAGATGGATATTAGGTTATCAAAAAATGGATAAGGCTATATCACCTCTGCATGCAGAACTTCAGGCAATCCATGAAGGCATGAAAATAGCAACCCATTACAACCTATTTCTACTAGAAATCAAAACAAACTCCACTGATATCCATGCACTTAATAATGATCATCTTGTTATGACTAATATTATTCATGCATGCAGGTTATTGATGCTCTAGCGGAAGGACCTGTCCTTATGGCATAACTTCCGGGAAGGAAACCAAGTAGCTCATCTTTTTGCAACAGATGCAAACAAAGACACCTTTTGGCAACCATGCAAGAAGTCAGCAAAACTACATCCAACACCACCTCATTTTGTTATCTCTCAACTTGCTAAAGATATGGATGTTGTTTACCTTTTCAAGAAGTCACTAGACATTACGGCTTGTAATAGACTAATACTCCTAGGCAACCAGAATGTCACAAACATTGGGCTACCAAGTCGTTACAAGCTGCATTCTCAGATCTTATGTACTAAGAACAATCTTTAATGCTTCTATAATATAAATATCCTTATTATCAAAAAAAAAAAAGTTATAACTTAACTATATAACTCGTTAATTTCATAATAAGTACGAAGATGAATTTTAGCCATACTATACTAGGTTCTAAACAATCAATAAAATCTTTCATTTTTTATACAAGTTCATGAAAATTGAAAACTAATCTATATTTTGAATAGTATACGTTACAAATAATTATTTGATAGCCTCATTGTATGAGGAATCTCCATACAACTAATTGAACTTGTTTTTAGTTTCAATTATTATTTTTTCTCCTGAACACGAACAATCTCCATTTTATTAATTAAAATGAGAATACAAAAACTTTCCAAGTTTGCTCACAATAAGTTATTGGATAAAGTTGCAGATGCATTGTGATAGTAAAATATTGACAGATTCAACAAGCAACATGGTAATAATGTCTTTACATTTGGAATTGGAATCTGTGTATCCATCTTCATCCTGAAAAAGTGTATCTAGTAATCGTGCAAGATTTAGAACTCTTTCGAGGATAGACATTGGTACTTCAGTAGGTGAAGTAATGCCTTGTTTATGTCTTTCCACGCATTCTTGACTTTCTTTTGAAACTCGACGTATGCTTCTTCTTTTGAAGCTCCATATTCTTTCATGTAGCATTCAATGACGGAAGCTACATGTCCTCTTTGTTGTTGAACCTAAGTCAATAGATTTCCTTATAATCTTCATCAGAATTTTACTTGTAATTAAGCATTTTTCGGTCATGTCTAAATTTCATATAGATAAGCCAAAATGAAGCAATTCCAATACATATTCTGGGGTAATTTCGTGCATGATCATTTAAATTTTATTTTATATACAAAAATTACTATTCTATTTTTTTGTAATAAAAAAATTACTCAACTTTTTCTAAGTCGCTAAATTATGTTTTATAACAAGAGAATCAATGAACTTCGCCAAAGTATCACAAAAAGTCACGAATTAAATAATAATTTTTGTAACCGAAAGATCATTTTTGTAATCAAAATGTCTATTGAGTTTCCCTCTCATGACTTCTGGTGATACTTAGGCAAACTTGGGTAACTTTTTAATTACAAAAGTAGTTTTGTAACTTTTCGTGATATTTAGCTAAAGTTGAATCATTTTTTTCATCGTAAAAAATAGTTTAGTAATTTTATTGCAATAAAGTAAAATTTATGTACAAAAACTTGATAAGTTGCCCCTTTGTCCCTTTTTTGGTTGTGCCAAGATCTAATAGTCAAATTAGTAAATGATAAGTTATGGTGTTTACTTCATGGTCGATAATATCATCCATTAATCTATAGATTATTGATGAAGTTCGAACAATTGAAGGCTCATTTGTGATCCATTCAAAAACATCTTTTGTTATAACTTCCTCCATACCAAGCAAGGAATTTGTTCCAAGTGTCATAAGGGCAGCGGTTACAAGTGCATTCTTCATACCAAGCAAGGAATTTGTTCCAAGTGTCATAAGGGCAGCGGTTACAAGTGCATTCTTCATACCAAGCAAGGAATTTGTTCCAAGTGTCATAAGGGCAGCGGTTACAAGTGCATTCTTCATATACTCCTCACATGTTGGAATGTAGCCCGCGTTCAACCATTCGGCTTCTTTAAAATAGGCTCTTACCAATTTTTTCATTCTAAAAGGAAATTTAAAAGGCAATAGGAGTTCAAGTTGATGGAGAAAGAAGAAGCTGAAATAGAAGCCCAGCACATCCCACCCAAACCACCAGACATCAGTACTACAAACACTAATACTATAACTACAAGCCTTCAAACATCCTTCAAAGAAAAACTACTGGCTCATCAGAATATATGATGTACAGCGATATGGCGGAAAATGAACATGCAAGGGAAGAACAAAATAAAACAGAGGATTCCATGCTTTTAAAATCAAATGAATTACATGAAGGCATAAGAACAATCCAACTATCAGAGAAGGACAAAAATAGAATGTATCTACCATGGAAACACTCCTTGATCATTAAGCTACTAGGTAAACGAATACAACACCAATATTTAGAAAAGAAAATACAAAAAATATGGAAACCATCGGAGAATTTCCCGCTGATAGATCTTGGCTCTGATTACTTTATTGCAAAATTTAGCAAGGAGAAAAACATGATCAGCGCCCTCCAAAATGGTCCATGGTTTATCAATGGCTTCTTCCTATCCATCAAGAAATCTGAACCAAACTTCAAAGCAAGCAATGCCACCCAAGAAAGGTCAGTCATTTGGCTACAACTTCCCCAGCTGCCTACTGAGTTCTACGATGCTATTATACTAAAGAAAATAGGCAACACCATAGGAAAACTTCTGAAGATTGATGCATGTACAAGTGCAGCACTGCGAGAAAGATATGCACGCCTCTGCATTGAGATGCAACTCGAAGAGCCAGTTCAACCTTGTATATCAATAGGCAACTACAAGCAGCAAATCATTTATGAAGGCGAGCACATCCTCTGCAAAGCTTGTGGAAGATTAGGACATACAACCCAGCACTGTTCTTATACCAAACTTACCCCCATATCTCGAGATGTAGAGCACAACATGGTGACTTCCACCACCTCCACAAACCACTGGCAAATGGTGGCATTCCATAAGAGGAGCAAAACACAGGCAAGTATACCACAACCAAGAGCAACAAGGAATAGTAAAGCACAGCCAGTACCATACCATCAAGGCACTCAAAGCGGATACACAGGTATTAATATCAAAATTTTTGAAGTAGTTACAGGTAAGTACCTCCACACTCAAAAACTCTCATATAGGTCTAAAGATACTGATGAATCCCAACCCCCTAATACCAGCCCAATATACTCACCAAACAAACAAACAATCATGAACTCAATTGGGAAAATGGACTCTAATATTTCTAACCAACCCCAGCTTCTCCATAATAAATTTGAAACTCTTCAGGAAATAGAGGAATACGAAGGAATGGACATCCCCACAGACATTCCTCTGAAACTACAAAACTTTTCCTCTTCCTCACATAAAAACTCTTCGATACAAACAAGAAACAAGGCCACAACACAACTGCCACGTGTACAAAATGTGGCTACCACCAATGAGCATGCTCAACACTTGCATGGAAAGTTGCTGCCAAATCTAGAAGCTAATAACAGCTACAACTTAGACGCTAATCACTCCTTGCATTAACTCAACACTCAATCTCCAAACGACAAGTCACACCCCATGCAACACACATGCAAACACTTGTCAGCGGACATTGTGAAAATGGACACACCTATGGACACCTCTAACCAAACAAATCCTATATACTCTCACACGGTTAATTCAACCAATCACACCCAAGTTTAATCTACCACAAAAGATATTCAATCTTTCTCCCTACCTTTACGACATTCCTCCGAAAATTTAAAAACAAATACTTCACAACAACAAAATTCCAAACCTACTATTACCTCTAAATAAAAGATCACGTCTGGGACTACTAACTTACAAAGTGCCTAGGAACTCATTTCAACCTCCCACGATGAACTTCAACAATCCAAACAACCCCATGCACATTCCAAACTTAGTCTACGCAACCCAACCATAGCATCAGGACCACCAACCTACCTCTTGGATCGAACAGGGTCTCCAAGGCCAAGCTCTCTTCTTCTCAATGTTGATAGAGGGACAGGAAGTCATGGTGATTATCCAAAATCAAAACTTCCTAGCACAAGTGGTGGCGGAGGGGATGAGAATGGCTATGGACAATTATATGAACCATATGTGGATGGCAAACATTCTCGATCCCCTAGCCCCAACAATTGCCCATGATCTTTACCAAACAATGCACAACCACTGGAACCTTCCACAACACTTCAATTCCCTCCTGAACATGAACCAAACGTTTGAAGTACCCTTTTTTCCATCACATGAGGTGACAGAAATGAACCCTCTATTCTTCCCTTGGACACCTCAACAAGCCCATCCACATCCTCATATGGCCCCTCCGATGGAACAAGGTCCAAATCTGGACCAGGAAGTACAAGAAGCAAAAGATCTATTGAATATGCTAAACAAATATTTTTAAACAACTTACCTTTAAACTGAAGTTTTATATACATATTGCGCTGCCCAGTGGCACTTCAAAGGTGCTCAATAGAGATAACTCCATCGATCAACACTGCAACAGCAAAGTATGCAGTGCTAGTGAACCCCACTCTAAGGGACAGCCCCTTCACGAAGGTAATTAACCATGCAACTAAACTCCAAAACCACTGCCCTATCATGAATACACCCACCGGCATAATCATTTGGAACGTTAGAGGCGCCAATAATGCAGACTTCAGACGTAACTTTAAGGAGCTTATAAATAATCACAACACATACATGGGGGACCTACTAGAAACAAAAATGGGCAACCATGCAACTCTTAGGGCAGATTTTAATTTCTCGAATTTAATAGAAATACCAGCGGTTGGCAGAGCTGGTGGTATTGTCATTATATGGGTTGACACAATGGTAGCAGTGGAGCGTGTTAGGCAAACTGATCAGGAATTTCATGCTCTAGTCCAGGTATTACCAAATCACAACCATTGGCTCTTTAGTTCAATTTATGCTAGTAACTCGTTATCAAGTAGGATAGATTTATGGAATAGCCTAAAGAATACTTTTGACAATTACAAAGGCCCATGGCTTATATGTGGTGATTTTAACGATGTCCTAAATCAAGAAGAGAAATGGGGAGGAAGGAATATTAAAAAAATAGGTCCTCCAGATTTTGGTCTTGTATAAACTACTGCAACCTAATTGACCTAGGATTCAAAGGTTGCCGTTACACATGGTCCAACCATAAATAGGAGGCAAGGTCTCATACTAGAAAGACTTGATCGATGCCTTGCTAATGAAGCATGGCTGGAATAATACCCCTCAGTGTTAGTTACTCACCTCCCAAAGACATACTCCGACCATAAACCTTTACTACTCAGACTTACTAATACTAGGACAAATACTAACAACCCATTTAGACTCGAAAAATATTGGCTAAGCCACCCTGAGTTTAATAAAGTCGTTGAGAAAAGCTGGAATAATAGAAACTTCAATGATGCCGAGGTTTGTTTCAAGACAAACGTCAGTGAATGGAGTGCTCACAATTTTGGTAATATCTTTGCCAATAAGAAAAGGATACTGGCTAGAATTAAGGGAATTCAAAACTCACCAAACTATACCTATAGCACTTTCCTTAGAAATTTAGAGCACACTCTAATCAATTATTATAACAACATTCTTCAACTAGAGGAAGATCATTGGAAGATTAGATCATGCCTGAATTGGCTTAATGAGGGCGATGCAAATACTAAATTTTTTCACATATCAGTCCTAAATAGGCGGAGGCGTAATAGTATCTCTTTCTTTAAAGACAACGCTGGCAATTGGATTACAGATCATTAAAAAATCATTGATCACACACACCACTATTTCAAAGATATATTCACTACCAATAATACACTATCAGAGTGGAATACTATTAAAAGTGCCTACACAAATTTCTCCAATATAGATGTCTCCTCCTTAGATAGGCCCCTAGCCACCCAAGAAATCATTTCTGCAGTATATTCCTTCAAGCCATACAAAGCCCCAGGACCTGATGGTATGCACCCAATATTCTATCAACGTCACTAGAACATTGTGGGACCCTCTGTCATACGGTTATGCAAAGAAATCTTCGCCCTATATAAAATCCCTGAGGAAATGAATCAAACCTTATTATGACTCATTCCCAAATTCAAGCATGCAAATAACCTTAATAATTTCCGACCAATAGGTCTCTGCAACACCACATACAAAATAATCACCAAAATAATTGTTAACAGGATCAAACCTTTCTTTCCTGAATTAATCAGCCCATGTCAAACCAGTTTTTTAAAAGGTAGGCGAGCATGTGACAATGCTATCATTATACAAGAAGTTATAAACCAATTCAAAAAAATAAAAGGGATGAATGGTCAACTGATAATCAAAATCGACCTTGAGAAAGCCTTTGACGGGCTAGATTGGTCGTTTGTCTACAAGGCCCTAGCCTTCTTCAAATTCCCACTAAAAATCACCTCTCTGATCATGAACTGCATAACCACAAGCAAAATAACAGTCTTAGTACATGGTGTTCAAACTAAGTTCTTTGAACCCTCGAGGGGGATTAGACAAGGGGACCCCCTATCCCCTTACCTGTTCATCCTAACCATGGAATTGCTTTCTATATACATACATCACCAAGTGGATCTTACTCTATGGATCCCCATTAGAATTGGGCCAAAGGGACCTCATGTATCACATATCTTTTACGTATATGACTTGACATTCATGGCCCAAGCAAATAAAAAATCCATCAATACCATTCACCACTCCTTAGTAACTTTTTGTTCCCTATCAGGCCACAAAATTAACAACACCAAGTCCAAAATTCTCTTCTCCGATAACTGCTCAAGTGCCATAAAAGACTATGCAATAGACCTTTTTAACATTAACCCAACTAGCCAATTTGGCAAGTATTTGGGTTTCCCCATTACCAATAACAAGACCAAACCATCTGACTTCTAATTTGTAATTGACAATATGAGGAAGAAACTTTCTAACTGGAAAATAAATTTCCTCACCCTTGCGGGACGAGCAACCCTTGTAAAGGCTGCCCTCAATGCCATCCCTAACCATAATATGCAGTACATATCCCTCCCAAAAAATCCTTCACCAAATTGATAAAATCCAATAGGACTTTATTTAGGGGACAACTACAATTAAAAAAAAATACACTACATCTCGTGAGATGTTGTAACCCTTCCAAAGGAATTAGGTGGCTGGGGGATACCCAAGGTATGGCACAAAACCAAGTCATTCTAGCGGGACTTGCATGGAGACTATTCGCCAATCCATCAACCATGTGAGCAGACACTCTAATTCAAAGAAACAGCAATAAGCCTAATGCTAAGACCACCTCCTTCATTTGGAAAAATGTCCTGAAGGGATGGGAAACCATCAACAAAGGATTGGCTTGGGATATTGGCAATGGTAAATCCATAAACTTCTACTATAGATGCTGGATCCCAAAAAAAACAAACATTCGCTCAATCATTCAAGGCCCTCTTAACAAGAATGATAGCAACTTGACCCTTGACCAGGTTTGGCTAAATGATCAGTGGAACTGGTCCAAAATATCATTCGATCTATCCAGATATATTGCTACTGACATCACCCCCATCTCCATCTCAAAAACCCCCTTGCCGTAGACACACCCGTTTGGATGCTCAACGCAAATGGCACCTTCACAACCCACTCAATTTACAAATTACTTCACCAACACACCCAAAAGGCCACCGGCTATGATTGAATTTGGAAACTGCATACCCTAAACAAAATCAAATTTTTTCTGTGGCAATACTTTAAAAATAGATTACCCACTAACTCCTACCTTTATCAAATTGGTGTCTCAATTGACAACACTTGCATGATTTGTAGGATGGCAGAAGAAACCATAACTCATATCTTCCTTGAATGCACTGTAGCACGCTCATTCTGAGACAACACAGGCACTGACATCAACACCATCCCTCACAACAAACACTGGCTATTAGCTATTAAAGATCTTCAAGTACCGATTACTCACAACTCCATAACTTGGGAAGATGTTTTTCCTTTTGCAATATGGCACCTTTATCTAAATAGAAACAACAACTACTTCCACAATTACTCAAACAACTTAAATTACCATATGGTTAATACACGAGCCATTGAGTTTAAATTACTAGCCTCCAATTACAAATGCACAACGCAGAAAACTCCGGTACACATTAAATGGTACCCACCACTACCTCATAACTACAAATTAAACATAGATGTTTCCTTGGGTAGCCACAACAAGGGAGGCATTGGGGGCATAATAAGAAATAGTCAGGGAGACATGATTGTAGGATTTACTAACAAAACCAAAGCCTACAACCCTACTCATGCAGAATTACAGGCACTTCATGCAGGTTTAAAATTGGCACATGACAAAGGACTAGCACCACTGGAGATTGACACTGACTCGACGGACATAATCCAACTGCTCCAACATAATATCTTTCCTGCTTATACTAACACTATCTTGGAATGCAGGTACTCGTTGAAGAAATTGGGGAATCTAGTGGTCCGGCATAGCTTCCGTGAAGGCAACAAAGTGGCACACTTTTTGTGTAAATTGGGTTCCAAGCAACAACACCTAAGCTCTACTATAACTATTTTGCACTCACCTCCAGATCCAGTAAAGAGGATGATCCAGGAAGACAAAAATGAAGCATCTACTACTAGACTAGTATCTAGCTCTATATGTAATACACTAGTAGTGCTTGAAAACCTTAGTATTATCCCTACTAAGAGGAACAGTGGTGAAACACAACTACTGGGAGAAGAACGGGGTAGTTGATCTACTGGCAAAGGAAGGAGCAAGAAAAGAACTTTTTGGAAGAACAACCATGCTGGGCAGTTCCTCCGGTGTTTGCAAATAAAGTTTTTTGGGCAGACATATTGTGTATATTGTGCAACCCCTCTGATTAGTGGAGGACGCACGTGGTGGCAAGCGGGTTCCCCTTTATCAAAAAATAATACTGTGTATATGTATAAATTACGATTGAAGTTGCATAAAATTAGTATAAATATTTAATTTGAACCCACTTAACAACTACTATTTTACGACTAAAGTTATGTACTTCTAAGATTGAACCCGCTAACATAAAATTCTGGGTCCGTCACTGGCTCTGATGATGTACCTATTTTATATTAGCTGCTAATATAATCATCCTTTAAACAAAAAAAACTACTACTATATACAGGTGAAATTTTGAAATATAATAATGAATTAACGACGAAAAAGAAAAGTGATAGGGCAGAAATAAGTTACTTGAAGACATGTAATGGCCTTGTTGTCTCACAAGTCGAAAGCGAAGAGCAACAACGTAAAGGTTGTCATCATTAATATTCTCACTCGCGTCAAAGATATTTTGAATGGATGTTTTGATCTCATTATTGAAATGATATGCTACTCCCAATGTTGGATTGTGTCTATCAACACATGTTTTTGTGTAGTGTTATCAGGAGTTTCTACCAACATTTTCCTGACTTTATCTTCTAACTCTTCAAGTTCAAGTTTTTCTTGGGTAGTAATTTCCTACAAGAGAAAATTGAGCATATATAGTAGTAGTATTAGTTTTGAGCATATTGTATAATTAGTTGTGATTAATGTAGGGGAAATGTGCAATTCTTGTGTACTTACAGTTTGTTGAGAAGTGTAGGAGAGGAAATGGTGTCCCCAAACGGTTGAACGAAAATCTGCCAAAGGACGTGAGCTATCCATTGCTTGCCTTAATATTATGCGACGACCAGAGCTGGCCGGAAAACCATATGAGTGTACTCTGAGTTGATGAGAAGTAGTAGCGTTTTCCCAAATAGTCAATTGAAATTTTGAAAACTAAGGAAAATCGACCATTAATACTCGACTCATTAGTCTCTATCTCTCACTTATGGTTCCGTTGCAGTTAACAGTACTCAAAACATATAGTGACAACATGCAGCGAGATGGAGAGGAGGCTCACTGGAGAATCGACATACAGACTACTATCCCTGTTTAATTCTGAAATGCTCTGATTCATATTCTCACTGTATAAAAAAAAAAAGGTGAACTACACCCCTTTAAATTGTCCACAACGATCAAACAACCTCTTCAACTAACCCATTCACCATTTAGACACTTCAAGTGATTATTAAGTGTATCAAGTAAACACCCGGGTGCAGCAGACTACATACGTGAGTTACAATTGCCAATGAACTGTTAAATGAGACAATTAAAGTACGACACGTGTAATTTATAATAAAAAAGACACATATAATAACAAAACTAGAAAATACATCTAAAGAAGAAAAATAAACCCCTTTCCTGTACTTTTATCAAAACCAGCGCCAATCCCCCTCTNCAAATTAAAACTCATACAAATATGAAATAACATAGTTTAGCCAAATAGAGAATCCACTAAGGAATTATTAATGGACCTCGCCGGAAAAGCTCCTCTTATACGATCTCTATCGCCGGAAAATTCATTCTCCAAGCAAAACTAAAAAAAATGATTCTATTGGAATCTTCAGTTTCTCTCTCCATTATTTTCTTAATTATGAATTTAGGCTTATATCACTTTTTTCTCTAATTTATTATTTTTGGTGTAAAATTATCTTTAAAAATGTCCCCCGGTGAAGATGAAAGAGGGTGGAGAAATTGTGTTCTTATGATAAAGATGTGGGTGACAGAACTGACAAAAAAAGTTGTTGTTTTTCGCAGCAACAACATTTTTGTTGCCTTCTTTCGCTGGGTCTGGGACTGATTTTGGGTCGACGGAACTAGGCGGAGCTCCGAAGGTTACGAGCAATAGAGTTTTGTGGTGAAAGGCGGCAGTTTCTTGTAGTTTTCGGTGCTTAGTTCGAGCTTTAATGGCTGGTTTTCCTCGCCTCTATAGCAGTTTCACGGTGGGGTTGAGGTGGTTTAGTTCATAATAAAGAAAGAAGAGAGGTTTAGTTACAGCTGGTTTAGCTAGCTACTGCTCTAAGGTTTCTTGGTTTTTTTTGTCAAAGAAAAATAAAATTAGGCTGAAAAAATGACTTGACGCGCTCAAATTTTGTTCGTAAATAGGCATATGCCTTATCAGCAACATGTGTTTACTTGATACACTTAATAGTCATTTGAAGTGTCTAAATGGTAAATTGGTCAGTTGAGGAGGTTGTTTGATCGTTGTGGACAACTTAAAGGGGTCGTTTATGTATTTCGCCCATAAAAAATAATTATAGGGTTCAAAATGAGGGGAGAAGCTATGTGTACTCAAGGGTGTTCAAATTTTGAATACATAGAACTTAGACATCGATATTTTATTTCTTTATAATAAAAAAATTAAAATTACATAAAATATAATAAATCATAAATTTTAAAGTTAAAAATATTTTTAAATTACATTGAAAACGTACGTGCTATGAGAACATCCCCTTCTTTTCGTTTTAATAAATCATATTCATCTTGTATATAATACTTTCATTTCTTGTGGTGATGTGGAGTTTGACACGACACCTTTACCGTGTAATTATTTAGGCGAAGAGGTCGCATAGGAGAGGGCGTAAAAACCTGACCTCCTAAGAAAGATTACAACAAGTAGGATAACAAAAGAAGAAGAAGAAGAAGAGAATGGATGTCGCCCATACTAGTTTTAGCTCCCAAAAGGGTGCCTGATCATATATAATGATGAAAAGCAAACAAGAAAATCCCTTAATTCCGTTGAAGGGAAAAAGTATTCTGACATGTTAAATAATAATTATCTCATATTATTAGTGGACCCCTTGCAATTTCGCTCTTTTTCTACTCCTATAATTTAAATTAATACTTATAATTGACACGAGGATCTTCCCTTTTCTAACTTTCGAAAATTATATAGGGGCCTCGATTTTAGCGTTACCGAAAAGACGTATCCATATCAGAAATCTTATCTAACCTGTTTATGTCAACGTACTGCATAATGCTTTTATTTATCACATTTTCTTAATAATAATCATATGCAATGGATCCATTAGTGCAGTTAGAATATCATTGGACCTTTGTGCATTTCTAGAGATTTTAATACTATTATTGATCCTACAGAAAAAAAAAAGTACGTAGCAAACCTCATAGAATGGAGAAAAATTGGAAGTTTATATTATGTATTCAAAAGTGTGGAATGATTGATAGTGATTTCATAAGGCTCAGATTTACTTGGTGTGATTGCAGGGGCAATGAGAACATGATACGTGTAACACCTCCTTTTTGCGCGCCCGCCCCGAAGGGTTAAATGCGCGAGGGAGTTTTTCCAATTTAAGTGACAATATTCGAAATGGGATTATTTATTTAATTCAGAGTCGCCACTTGGGAAAGGTTTGGCTTTTGGTGTCCCAAGTCACCGGTTTATCTTGAATCCCAAATCGAGGAAATTTTCGACTTTTCCAAATGAAGTCTGCGAACCAGAAATTCTAAGTAAGGAATTCTGTTGACCCGAGGGAAGGTGTTAGGCACCCTCGAATCCCGTGGTTCTAGCACGGTCGCTTAAATTGTTATAATGGCTAAATATCTGATTTAAATACATGTT